GCCCACCCCTTGGTTTTTATACTCGTGTGTGGAGAAGTATAAAGTAAGGTGTGGACAAAAGAGCTTTGTAGTTATTTATTTTAAAGGTACAGGACTTAAAAACCCCTCGTAAATAAATAGCTTGGATGTCTCCAGTCCTGCTTCTGAGGATGAGCTACAGGTGGACACATTTCTGGTCGTGAGGATGGGCTGTCCCGCTCTGAGCAGCCGCCCTCAGAACTCGTCGATCTTCCTCTGCAGGTACTTCAGCATGGAGTCCATGCCCTGTGCCGAGCCCCAGATCCTCCTCAGCACCTCACACTCCCTCTCGTTAGCCTGCTCCAGCTCCAACCTCATGTTACAGCGCACCAGGGCCTTGGACTCCTCCAGCACCTGCATGACGAGAAGCGGCATTAGCAGCTACACCGCCGCAGTGGGGTACCGACCATGCACCGCTTGGCGTCTTGCTCTCAGGCCTGATGGACCTAAGGCACAGCTCGCCACCTGGACCTGTGGGTCCCCTGTGCATGGGTTCAACTGACCTTGGATATAAAAATCTGGGGAAAATACACACAAAAAACCCTGTACCTGTGTGGAACATGGGCAGACTCCTCACCATCTTTATTTCCTAAAACACGGTGGAATCACTACTCTTGCAGCGCGTACACTGCACTATGGCCCTCTATAAGACCTCGCGGTGTATGGGAGATATGCACAGAGCACATGGCCTGTGGCATGCTGCACAAGGGACTGAAGGCCTGTGGATTCCGGTACCCATGGGTATTTTTTTTCCTGGATCCAGTACCCCATGGATACGAAAGGGTGTCTATATTTCACTAAATGTTGGACAAATGTGCCTGTTTGTTTGTTTGTTTGTTTGTTTATTTATTTATTTATTTTTTCGGCGCCAGGGACTGCAGGCCCTTGCACTTGCCAGGGAAGTGCTTATTCCACTGAGCCATCTCCCTGGCCCCAAATGTTCCACTTTAAACGAGCTCTTCAGGTCTTTCTGGACAGCTGGGTTACAGCACCCCAGCCGCCACCCACCCCTGCCCAGCACTTCTGCAGCAGGTTGGCGTGGGGCCTGCACCGGAGTCCACTCCATTGCTGAGCAAGACAAACCCTGAGTACCCTGCTTAGTGGACTTACTAAATCAATTTAATTCTGGTTGTGAAGGCTGTTGAAGTGTCTGTGAGTTTAGTTGTGAGATACTGTCAGTTCACCCAAACTAACATTTCATTCTGTAATTTGCTAATGTAATTTTGCCTTAAGATTGAACATCATTCATCCTATTTATTAAACCAAGACCTCTGGCCAGCTGTATTGGGAGAAACTCAACACGATTACGAGAGGATTCCTACAAACACTGAAGAACGCCATGGAGGGTGGTTGTTGTAGACTTTCCCAAGACGTCTGTGTCATGAGGCTCTTTGCTAAGGTCTACCCTTTCATTTCCCGTTGCAGGAGAGCAAATGGGTAGGGGCTAGGAAACCCTGTCTAACGTGTGAGTCTGATGGAGGAAGGGTGGAGACACAGATATAAAGTAACATGGAAGAGACGTACGACTGGATTGCACGAGGCGAGCTCCTTGATGCGAACCATGACTTCCTGGGTGAAGGTCCCTGGCCAGAACACCTGGGAAACCAGGCCCTTGCCACATGCCTCCTGAGCTGTCAGTTTCCGTCCACTGAGCAACATCTCGTTTGCCTGAAAGGAAGAGCGGATTGGATGCACTGTGAGACTAGACGGGGAAGCAGGAAGGGAAAACCCACCCAATTCATCCCTCAGAAATACAAGGCTAACAGCACAAGTGTGAGAATGCCGGGCTCTGCCGCACGCCCTCTAATGGCCACTAAGAACAGAGCACGAGCCAGCCACAATCAGCTGGGCAGACGGAGAGCAATCTCGGTTTCCGTGGAAGACGGCTGACTTGATGTGTAATACAGAATCACATGGACTTAAAAAAATCTACATGAGAAGATCTGCAGTTAATCTGCACAGTTACAGGTGTAGACCTTTCCTCATGAGTAACACCAGCTTCTCTCACACACAAGGTCCTTTAAAACAGCAAGTCATCCCAGGAAGGTGGCCGCACACAGGGTAGCCCATGAGCAGGGCTTGGAACAACTGTTTTTGGTACTGGGGCCCAGGGACTTGTTCTAGACACAGAGACAGTGCTCTGATGGCTGTGAATGCTGGGGCTGGCAGCCCAGGTCCGTGTCAGCACTGGAGAAACGAACCAGGACCTGAGTGTGCCCCAAACCCCTGCAGTGGACAAGGTCTGATAGTCACTTCACTGGACTCAATGGAGAAAGCCAATGGTTTTGTTTTCAGAAGTTATGCGTGCATGGGTGTGCATACTTGTACGTGCAAATGGCCTGACCTTTGTCCTGGGTTTGAAGTCACTTTAGGCTCGGTGCATCCTATTGGATTTCATACCTCTGTAGCATCAGACTCAGTCATGGTGGCAGGGTGTGAGGGGAGAGTATACAACCTGGAGCCACCATTTCCTGCCTGGTTTCCGCACAGGGCCCACCTTCCTGAGCTCCTGAGGCCCTGGATGCGACTGAGCTTCAGAAGCTCAGGCAAAGATGTGGCAGGTGGCTCCCTTTTCTAGGTGGGCCATGATCTTGAAAGGGCCCTGTAGTACCCCGAGTGCCTATCAAGCACCACAAACACAGCATGTACTGTGTGACTGACGTGCCCTGACAGAGGTAGCGGTGCTGCACGGCTGCCACCACCGGAGCAGCCTGTGGGTGAGCTCAGTCTTGGATAAAGTCGTGATGAAGTCTGGAATGTTTTTGTCCCTTCCCCTCCCCAGAGAAAGGATGGTCCATAAACAAGTGACAGACTGAGACAGCCTCAGCTGTGCTTGGCAGCTCCGACCAACGCCAACGCAGTGACAGGACAGCAAGCAGGGCCTGAGGCCATGCTATTAGGACAGCCCTGATTTCCCTCTCTAGGTTGAATCTCAACAGACAGAGAAGACAGTGCCACAACGTGGGCCAGCAGCTGAGCATGCGGGCAATCTCAAGCCAACACAAGCCGCAGCCTGGGCTGGGGCAGTGGGTGCCGACGACCTCACCCAGCCCAGTGAGCAGGGCAGAGCAGCAAGCCCTTGAAGACGTCCTCTCTGCTGCCCTCAGGACCACTGTCCTGCTCTGTCCCTTGCATGTCCCTTTCTCTGCCCTGCAGGTCATCTGGAGCCATCCACTGCTCCCTGCCCGGGTTCTGCATGGCTCTGGGGCTGGGTCAGCAGATGGCACTGGTCTCCTGGCTGCCTCTGCCCACCCGCCCATTGGCCACACTGCTCTCTAAGCCTTGCAGGACAGCCTCCCCCCAGATGTCAGGTGTGCAGAACCACCAGGTGCCAAATGACAGCACCCCCTGGCCTTGTTAACCTTTTCCCAAGGAAAAACAGGCAGGGACTCAGTTTATACGATAGACATCAAAACAAGAACAAAACTGAAAAACATGAGAAAAGCAAATCCTTGCCACATGAGCATGGACAGGCTCCACTGAGTGAGCGCACCCCACATTTAAAAGAGGAGGCTTTAAACTTCTGCCCAAGCTGCAGACTTGCAGTGGGCCAAAGGCAGACAGTCCACAATGACCCAGGTGCGGCAGAAGAGGGGAGACAGAGCTCTTCTGGTTTGGCCATACAGCCACTGCCAGGAGGTGTGGTAAGGAGGGCTCAAGGCTGGGAGTCAGGCTGTGTCCGGGATCCCTGGGGAGGGGTGCAGCCGGGCACCCAGGCAGGACCAAGAGCCACACGGCTCACTGAAGGGCCTGTGCTTGTCGCTTGGGCTGCTCTTCATGTTCCCCTGATGAAGGTACCCTCCGAAGCCAAATGCCAATGACAACACCCAATCACACCCTAAGGTGGGGTCTGTGACTTCGAGAGAGCCCAACACAGCAGGCAACTGTGAATGTCTCCTGGGGACAAGTAGGGTGCACTGGAGGCACTGCCCAGCTAGTGACTGGGCTCTGTGTGTGCTCTTATCCTCTGGTCCCGCTGGCTTCCTGGCTGGCAGGGCTCTACACATGCCAGGGGGCAGAAGCAAACCCAGCCTGGGCTTCAGAAAGTGGAGACAGACACCAAAAGCTCTTGAAAAAAAGTGACCAATGCAAGCTGTCATAGTCCTCTTGTACACACAATTACTGTCTGCCTAGAGTATCTGTTTAGTCAGATACTGCAAAACAAGAGCTGGATTTATACCATGTGCAGGGTGAGCCCTGGCTCCTGCCCGGGCATCTTTGGGGCAGTGCCTTTGGGAGACAGTGGGTAGCATCCTGGCCCCTAATGACCAGCATCCCTTCAGCCATGATAGCCAACAACGTCTCTGACATTGCCCCAAATGAGCCAGGACTTGTCCATGGGGGTCATGACTGACCAAATGGCAGCTGTTCTCTCTGCAATGGCTTCAAGCCACTTAGGAATTGTCTGAGCACAGGGAATTCCGAGCCTCAGTGCCGAGCAGCCCTGGGCCCAAGGGGTGCCCTGCCCAGGTCTGCCCTTGGGTGGCCCCAGACCATCAAAAACCTACATTGATCCCACAATGCAGGCAGAGAGCAAATCCCGAGAAATAACTCAGAACAAGCCTGCCGCGTTGCCGTGACAGGGCTTCCTCACTGCAGTTGGCAGTCACTGGTGGGAAGCAACCTGCTCAGAGCAGCGACTCAGGAGGAGCGTAAGGAACTGGTCAGGGGTGACTCCACCCTGGGACCACACTGTGGGGGCCGCTCGCTCCTCCAGGGGCCTCTCCAAGAGACAGGGCAATGGCACCCACCAGCCACGTGTGGCAGGGATGCCTGTGGGCTCTGGAGTTGTCACAGTTGCCCTGCTTCATCTCCGCACCACCCTGCTATCTCCCTAGCCTTCTACCAGTGGTGAAGCTGAGTTCAGCAAACCTCACTCACCAAGATGCACCTCGGCAGCCACAGAAGCTAACGAGTGGGGGTGGAACGGACGGAGTGTGTGGCTTTGGGGCCCACGTGCTCCAGCTCACTAACAAGAAGATCCTACAGGGTGGCAGGCACCTGCAGCAAGCCCTGCCCTGAACATACCAGCCAGAGTGGCTGAGCTCCGGACAGAGCTATAGTCCACCTGAGCCGCAGGAGGGGCAGTGGACATTGGGTCCCAAAGACCCAAATCTGGCATGAAGATTTCTGGGTGATACTCTCAAATTCTGAACCTTGGACTCTCCTGTCCTTTGCTCACAGAAATACCGAGCAGGTCTCTACTGCACAGAGGCTGCCTACTGCTGGAGGACAACATGGGCTTCTCTCTGTAGAAGTGCCTGGACATCTGTCCCACCTCCTCTCCCAGCATCCCCTCCACCCCCAAAGGGACTGCAGCCCAGGCCCACAGGTGCAGAGGAGGCTGTGGTATCCCAAGGACACCTGACCAGAGTCCAGGACCACATCAGGACAGGAGAGGTGACTAGGCTAGGTGACACTGAATCGCACCCTGGCCGGGTGCCTGGGGAGGGTGTGACCCTATTCCAGGAAGCAGAGGAGAGTGGGGTTCAGTCTATTGGAGCAGGAAGGCAGGAGTGCAGGGGCTGCTCTGAGGGCCACAGCACAGCTGTGGGGTTTTGGACAAGGCTGTGACACTCAGCAGGGAAGCTACACTGCAGTGCTGAATAGTTCTCTAGGGCCTGCGCAGTGGCTGTGGGACAGTGACCACACATGAGAAATGGCTAGCAGAGCTGAGGTCCTTTGTGCCCATGCACAGCTGGGACCAGATGCATGTCCTGGGGGAACACAGGTGCTCTGCTCAGCCCCTGGCCATGTGGAGTTTTCTGTGATCAAGTGGGGCTGGTGCATGAGTGTGCCCGCATACCTGCAGGGACAGCAACCGCACCGCAGTCTCCCTGGTACAGTGGAGAGGAAAATATCCACTGGGGGATGTACCCAGCCACTGCCTGGTGGGCAGGTCCAAGCTAGAATAGTGCTACCCAGGCTGTGGGGCCCAGATGGGGCGGGGGTACAGGAAGGGCAGAGTGCTGTACCATGCTCCTGCTGGCCGGGGCAGCCACCATGCAGGGCACTAAGTGACAGGAACTGGGGACAGTGTGATTGCTGGCACCTGGTATGGGCATGGCAGACGCAGACCCAGGTGGCCGAGGTGTTGGGCATAGCTCCACTGTGTGTGAAAGACCCAGGCTCAGGCAAGTGCAAAGGCCGCTGGCGCCTGAATGTTGGGCCCGCTGTGGCTGGGCACTGCACAGCGCCTTGCTGAGGACAGTGCCATGTCACATGGTAACCACGCTGGCGATGAACCCTTCCTCCGGGCTTGTCCTGCCCCGAATTCCTCCCCACACCAGACTCTGAAGCTCAAGGGATGCCAGAGTGCGTGCAGGGGGACATGCAGAAGGGCAGACCGGGGGCTGTGGCAGAATCACGGCAGCACCCACAGAGGCTGGCAGGGAGTGCGGCTGGTGGGGCACAGTGGAGCGCAGTGCGCTGACGGCGTGGTTCAAGGTCTGGTCTCCAGCAGGAAGGAGGCCTCTTGGTCTTCCCTGTGCAGTGTCCAAGGCCACCACTCTGGCCCAGGGAGGTCGCTAGCTCCTCACGGGATGACACACTGTACCTACTGAGAACATCGAAATCCCACGCCAGCGTGGCTGAAGCAGGCAGGCTGCAGGCTGCGGCTGCTGCACCTCCAGCCAGGAAGCGGAGGTTCTGGTCAGATGCAGCGGAGGCTGCTGCTTGCTCTTTCCACTAACCTGCCTCTGCCGCTCTACCGATTTCACTGCTGAACTTTGTCTCTTTTTGACCTTCCTTAATTTGGAGGGTAAGCTGAGAATGACAGGAACGTGGCTGACGCATAGCGAGGAGCGCTCCCCAGGTGAACCCGCGACAGAGCATCTCAGAGCAAGCCCTGCGGGTGACCGCCAGCACGCTGCTCAACGGCAAGCCCTGCACAACTTTGCCACTTTTCCTTGACCATGATTCAGAACAACACTGCTCTGAGCTGTCATGTCCCTTCTGTCCATGAGGGTCCCTCCGCCTCTGCAGATTCTCAGGCTGCGCCTGCCTGGGGCTTGCCTGTGACTGGACAGAGTGACTCACTGCGGGGAGTGCCCCCAGCGGCAGTGGCTGTGGCTGAGTGCACCAGGCCACGGTGCCACCTCCACTGTGGCTTCCATCTCCCGCTGCGAGTTACAAGAGGACACAAGTTCTCCTGCTCCTCGCCACACTTTTATCCACTCATTTTAATGTTCTCAGGCAGTTCTTCCGTGAACTAGGTCTGATGGCTTCCCTCAGCGTTCCCTGGGGAGAGGCTGTGAATGGAGCTGTGCCCTGTGCCTCCTCCGTGGAGGAGGCTGCCCCAGATGCACATGGCCATTAGCTGTTTCAGGGCCTCTTGGCTGCAGAGCCACCCTGTCCATGGGCATGCCACACATCATGAAGGTGGCTGTAAAATGTTAGTGGCCACAGCAGTCCCCTAGGAGAGGCTGTGTGCTCTGGAGCCCGAGGGTGGGACCGGCCAGGCCCTGTCCTCCTGCACCGCAGCCTCATGCCTCCTTCTGTCCAGTCCAGCTCCCCCTGTCCCCTCAGTGGGTGCCATCGACCCACGAAGTCTCTGTGCCCAACTCGCCTCAGTGTCCACTACCGAGAGCCTGCTGGGAGCCACCTTTCATCCTATTCCCACGTCTACAGAAGAAAATAGACGCAAACAGACGCAGGGAATTACTCCATGAGCTACAGAGCACAATATAAACACAAACTATTATCACAGGTGGGCTCACTTCATTAAAAAAATAAGAGCCACAAAATTTTATGGAAGAAAACCCCTCTTATCTTGCTCTTCATTTCTTTCTCTGACAAGAGCAGCTTTTAGCTTATTAGGTAGAGAACACTTCTACTGCGAACGCCACCATTTGGGTGACAAAGTGGGTGTCCGGGTATCAGGCAGAGCTGCAGGCTTCCTGATGGCCGGCTGCTTCCCGAGGACGGGGCTGAGCAGCACCACAGTGCCCGCGAGCCACGCAAGACCCTCCGGAGCTGTCAGCGTGCCCGAGGGGAAGTTCCACACCACGACACACCGCAAATACTGAGAAGAGCAAGAGCCTTAGGTTTCTCCAGGACATTTTCCCCAACGATTTCTTAAAAAAGATACTCACAGACGCTCCTCCCATAATCTTGGGGAACATAACGGTCGAGCAGCCGTCTGGACTCTGTCCGAAGGTAGTATAGGGTGTTTGAAACCAAGCCTTTTCATTAGCCCAAACCACATCGCAAAGAGGCAATATGGAGGCTCCTAGACCAATGGCTGGGCCATTTACTGCTACAATGATAGGCTTCTTAAACTGAATGAAAGTATTCACGAAGTTTCTAAAACGAAAAATAAATGGGAAATTACTCAAAACATTGCATATTTGAGCAAATAAAAAAACCTACTACAGAACACCATTTACCAGGATATAAGCTCTGGGAATCACGACCAGCTGAGACCCTCCCCGGAATCTGGGGCTGTGGACTTGTTCTCAGCAGGCTGGACGCCACACGGCTGACTAGAGGTGGCGGGAGCGGCTGCAGCGGCCTGCTGAGTCTGCAGTGCTCCCAGGCTCCAACCAACACGGCTTGCTCCTCAGCCCCACCCCCAAGCCCTAACACCATGGGCTTCTTGTGGTCGATCAAAGGAGCATCCCAGAGGACGCCCGGCTGGGTGCACCCACACGGCCTGGTCTTCAGAACAGCAGTGGACGGGGCCTGGCTTCAGTACGGTAGTGAGGGCAGCTCAATGCTGTGTGGAAACAACAGATGCTTTCTGGGAGCATGGAGAACGGCTTAGGTAGAGCGGCAAGACTAGCGCCAAGATGGGCTAGCACAGGCCAGGCCACCCTCCAGGGGCGCCACTGTGTGCTGGTGCTCCTGTGGCAGGAGCTCAGGGGACAGGAAGGAGCAAAGGAAAGGAGGGGGAACGGGAGAGGGAACAGGACTGGAGGGGGAGAGGAGGGGGGATATTACACTCAGCCATGGCTGTCTGTAGGTTTGTTTTAGGATTAGGCCGGAAGCACGGCTGCTTTTCAACGTAGGCTACCCCCCACCCTGGAGGCTGTGTGCTCAGAGGGGTGTCCTGCTGTGACTTAACATGTCAAGCAGAGGGTAAACACATCCAGCAAATGAAGGACAATCCGTCTGCATTCTGGATTAAAACCGCAGGATGGACAGTGCGCTCTGCAGTCAGGGTTCTACACCTGCGCCTGCTGTGAGCATGTGAAACAGCCACCCACGTACATTCTACTTTGCAGCAACTTGAAAGCACAGGTATCTGCTTAGCTTTCCAAAAACCACTACTCGGCATCTCTGTGCCCCTTGCTTGCCTGGAGACCTGCCAGGCCAGGCCACCAAAGGGGAGGATGGCAAGGAGAGGGGTGGGGCGGGTGGACAGCAGGGGCCAGGGCCTGGCCCAGGCGGGCGGGCACTGGGGGTGACTGCTGGCTGCTCCCAAGGCACCAAGGTTTTTATCTCTGCAGTAAGCAAGGATGAGCCCACTCAAGAGAAGTGGTAGGGAGGCTCCCTACACCAGAGCCTGAGGCACCTAGTGAAGCCACTCCAGGGGGTGCTGACAGAGTTTACGGTAGATGACGGGTGAAAGGCCATTTCCTGGGCTCTGTTACTGATGCCCTCTCAGGAGACAGAGCAGATGCTCCCATGTTTGTTTCCCAGGTGCCCAGAGTGGTTCTCGGGAAGGAGAACTTGCCCCAGAGCTGAGGGGTGTGTGTGCGTGTGTGTGTGTGTGTGCGTGCACGTGTGTACATGGTGTGTGTGGGGAAAAATGATCTGAACTACTCTACTTCATACAACATGTAATGATGTATAAAACACGATGAGAACTTAGACTGATGCTGGAGAAATTTTACTTGTCTGGGGCGCTGACTTGGACTGGACCTACGCCTCTTCCGGGGGAGACTTCACCAGCACCACCGGGAGTGACGCGCTCCTGGATCCCTTCCTAAGGGAAGTGTCTTTCCGATGGGGAATCAATGAGACTGCAGAAAAAAATGTGGCCCACACAGCAAATCACTTATTTAAGCCACCACCAGCACCACCACCTAGAGGCTCTTCGCCTGGTGTTAACTCCGCAGGGCCACAAAAACTTACTCGCATCATGAGCTGCAAATCAAGTCATCAAACCACAGTACTCGGAGGGAGGGAGGGAGGGCCTGGCCATGGCTTCTGCTGGGTGCATTTAAAACTTAAAAATCTGACCTCATGAACATCTACATGTGTGAAAAGCAGCGATGCCCTTGTGGTTTGTGTCTAGTGATCCCTGCAAAGCCTCAGAAAGTCAAGGGGCAGCTTCTAGAGTTTGTGATTAATTAATGATTCAACGCTGGGGGTGTGGGTGCTACACCTGCCACCCTGTGGGTAATCTTAATCTGCATCACAATGTAAGGAGGGGAGAGAGGCTTGCTAGCTGCTGCAGCAGCTGCTCTCCCTCTGCCCTTTGCTGTTTTCCACCACCATGAGCTGCTGCCCTCTGCCATGTGCCACTGCCTTGGAGCCAGCTGAGTACGGACTGAAACCTCCACTTAACTGTTTGTGTGTTTTGTTTTTTTTTTTTTTACCAGGGATTGAATTCAGGACCTTGCACTTGCCAGGCAGGTGCTTATGCCACTGAGCTATCTCCCCCTCCCCCCCCCCCAACTTAACTGTGAGCTAAACAAACCTTTCCTTCCTTTATTTTGGCTGTTGGGTGTCTGTCCCAGCAACGAGACAAGAGTAACTGAGACACAAACCAACTCTGTCTCCATCTCTCACATGCCGCACACTGTACTACATTAATCTAGCAAGCTGGTTATTAACAAATTCTGATCACAGGAACCAGAGGCCCTAGATACTGACAACCTAATGTTTAATACAAGCTTCCTCGTTCCCAGTTTTCTTTTGAAAACTTGTTAGAATGAGATCTTTGGCTTCAAAGTTTTGAGGAATGGGAGACAAGGTGCCACATACACATAAAAGAAAGAAATACATGTAGTAAGAGCTTTTGTGTGTAAGCCAATCTTATCCATGTAAAAATTAATTTAAATGCAAATGAGCAAGTGAAAGGTTAAGTGAAGCTGGTGTAACTAATTATTTTTCTGGTTACGCCAGAGAATATTTAGAAAAATTCACATTGATAAAAAAGTGTCATTTGAACATGAAACAAGTAGACTCTTTCCAAGAACCAGGTGGCTGTGGGGAGCTCCGGGGAGAGGGCACTGACAGAAGTAGACATGCCAAGTTACCCGAAAGCTCAGGAAAGGTGGCCTCTCCTTAAATCAGTCTTCATCCACCTTTCCGGGTTCACAAGCCCTGACACTAAAGCCTGGCCCCGGGGAAGGGGGACTCGGCACTGCAGGAGCAGCTGAGCTCTGGCAGACTTATTAGCGGTGCGCGAGCAGATGGGGCCCACCCAAGAAGGCCCTGACAGGCTTGATTCCACCCTAGAGCACAGCTACAAAAAGCGTGCGGTTACAAGCGACTCTGGTGTGACTGCCTGGAAAATACAGTTGCCCCAAGAGGTGTGATGGTCTGTAGTTTAAAATATACCTTACTCACATAATTTGTCCTGAACAGATGGGCTAGCAGTGAGGAATAGCTCCAACTGGGTTCAAGGCTCTATCTGCCAGAAAATGATGCACCTTGATCAGGGTAACCGAAGCAGCTTAACTTCAAATCAATAGACAACGGTGCCACCTACTACTGGGTCACAAACCTGAGACTATTTAGGTGGCCAGAACACTTAATCAGTCAGATTAAACTTTCAAACTACTGGGTTGGCCAAATAGTTGAGCAGATTAAAGCACCTGCAAGCAGGCATAGGGCCCAGGGGTTCAATTCCTGGGCCTGCCATGCTGGCCCCACCCCTGGGGCATGCTGAGATAGCAACCGAGACTGGGCATGGTGGCATATGCCTACAATCCCAGCACTTGGGAGGCTGTAAACAGGTGGATCACTACAAGTCCGATCTAGTAGTGAGACCCTGAATACCCTGTAGACCATTCCCTAAAATACAGGAAAGAAAAGAAAAAAAAAAAAAAAAAAAAAAAAAAAAAAAAAAAAAAAAAAAGCCAACTTCAATGTGTTCAAAGGCCAACACAGGGATTTAGGGTTCTCCTGGCATGTTGTGCTCTTTCAGGAGAGTGGCCCCGCCATCCCAGACATGCGATGTCAGGGTCGCGCACACCCCTGCCACTGTGCACCTGGACAACAGCTAGGGCCGCAGGGGCGGTGCTCAGGGCCTCCGCTGTCAGCCCCGGCACTGCCAGACCACGAGCGCTCCTCGGCAAGGGCCTGCGGTCTTACAAAAGACCCAACCCACTTCACCGACATTTCAAAGCTGTACCTCTTTAATTTTTCATCCTCTATGGATTAAAAAGACAAGCACAGAAGATTCTTAGGAATCAACAAGGATGTGTGCCTTTAGAAAGGTGAGTGAGGAAACGGGAGGCGCACTACTTGGGGGCTGGTTCCATTCACTCTACATCAAATTCACCTCTCAAATATTGGCTGTTTTTATACATAGTGATGAGCAAGAAAAGGACCTGCTTACAGCAGTACCAGTGGTTATAAGGCAGGCTCTGGAAGCTGTTGTAATACTATGACACTGAAAACCTCACAATGGAGGTCACAGGAGTACGCCGAGTTACCCTGTTGGGTGAAAAAAGCAGGCCGCGAAGCTGCACGGCATGACTCCGTTTATTTTGTAGACTATAAAGAAATCCGTATTATCTGTGTACAGGAAATGTGTATCTGAAAGTACTTAGGTCAGGAAGGCTCCTGTACGTCGTGGCGACTGTCAGCAGTGACCCCTCCCGTACTCTGCGATGGCGCAGGCATGCTGGCATGGATGCATCAGCTGCAGATTTGGCACCAAGTTGTGCAAAGAAGCAACTGGTAGGGGGCAGCTGCTCTTTGGAGACAGAATCTTGCTCTGTATTCAGTGCTGGCCTTGCGCATACGGTGAGCTCCAGCCTCAGCCTTTCGCGTGCAGGAGAATGGGTGAATGGTGAGTTCAGAGGGGATGGGGGGACACAAGGCAGGGGACTCGGGTTTCCTGCTCTCTGTCCTCTAGCTTTCTGTGTGGCTAGCACTCAGAAGGAGCCTAAAGGCAAATGTGTGCTGCTTGTACTGGAAAGAAAGCTCTCTCCAAAGGCCTGATGTGACCGATGTGACCGTCACTGAACCCAGGCAACTTCTTTCAGAGTTATGCAAATGGCCAACAGTCATTATGCACTTGTGTTAGGAGTGGAGGGTGGAAGCCACGCAAACACAGACGTCCAGGGCCTCCTTGGGCCCAAGCGGCCGCTCAGCTTCCAATCACCGGGCCTGCGTCAGGCTCGTGGCTTTAAGCAGGCCTGCGCAGTGGCCCTCTGCCCAGTGCAAGTGGTGGTTCACGCCAGGCCCAAAGAAGACAGGCGACCTCATTCATTTAGCCCTAGTGCTCCTCCAGGGAAGAAGATGCACGTTCAGTCTCCAGGCCTCTCTGGCCGCACGCTGAACAGAACCCCTGAGCCAACATCCTACACACACCAGCGCTGCACATCTGAGAGCCTGAGCCAACACTCCCCACACACCAGCGCTGCATACCTGATAACCTGAGCCAACACTCCCCACGCACCAGCGCTGCACATCTGAGAGCCTGAGCCAGAGCCCCCCACACACGCCGGCCCTGCGTACCTGATAGCCTCGGCCATCTTGGTGCTTTCTCTTTTCCGGTCATCTGTGAGACGCCGAATGAAATAAATAAAGTCGAGCCCACAGCAGAAGACGCTGCCCACTGCGCTGAGCAGCACCAGCTTGCTGTCGTCGGCAGCGGCCGTGTTCAGGGCGCTCTGGACTTCTTTCATGACCTGAAAGTCACCACAGGTTCAGGCGGTAAACAACATTCTGGGTCCCGATGCTCAGAAGCATCCTACCACGGGGCGATGAGAGCTCCACAGAACTCCTCCCACTGCGACCTGAAGTGACTCACGTTTCCTGCTGGGGCGCAGGGGGTGGAGTACAAACAGCTATGCACAGAATTATAAATGGAGCACAATTAGACAGATGCAGGCACTGAAGTTCCTGTAATGGTCCACAGCCAGTGCGTACTCAGCAGATACCAGGACACTAGATCTCTGTTACGCATCATCTCCACCAGGTATTTCTGCAGTTTGGACAGCAGGTGGCACATTTAACCCCAGCTCAAAGAAAGGGTTCAGGTTTGGGTTGTTTTCTTTTTTGGAGGGGGGTGGCATTTTATCTCCCCTTGTAAACCAGCCTACCACACTTGGGGTGCGATCTAAATAGTTTGGTGCACAGGTGCATTAAAGCCAAGCATATCGGTATAGGAAGGTGATTGCTGAAAGGCATGCAATCAGATAAAATGGTCCCTGAGAAGTCTTTATAAATAACCAGCAAAGGGACCCCCACAGTCTAAAAACGTACCAAGGTTTGGCCCTGAACTGGTTTGTTTTGTGACCCTGGCCAAACACGGACTTTCTGTGGTTTGGGTTTCCTTGTCTGGAAACAACCTGCCCAAGACGCTCACAAGCAGAAAACAAGCAACCCTCGAGCTGGGCACGGTACAGGGCAGGCCCGAACACTCCTGCTTCTAGATGCTGCGGAACCGAGTCTGAGCCGTCGCAAGCACTCGTCTTCCTGGTCTCTGGAAGCTGCCTTTTGAGAGACTTACAATGTGTGGACCTTCCTGTCTCTGTGGTCCTGCTTCAATGCAGAAGAGGATCTGTCACTGGGTGATGACAAGATCTCCAAAGGGGCCAGGACCCAGGCATGTTACACTTAGTGGAACAAAGAGCCTGTCAAGAGCGGATGAAGGCTACAGTGTGTGCACACACTTGCCACGTGACTTTTGGGCCCCACGCCTTGCCAATGAAGAACCCCTGACCTGGAAAGTGACAAGCACAGAGCCATGGGTCCCACTAGAGCCCACATCCAGGAGAGTGAGTGCACATCAGCACACGTCTACTGCCCGCCACTGCAGCCGGAAGTTAGATGTCACCTTGGCCTCCTACCTTCCACTGGGCCTCAGGAACGGCCCAGAGGCCCAGAGAGAGCAGAAAGGACAGCGCCAATTCAGCAAAGCAGGCCAGGAAAATGGGCGAGGAGGAGAAGCAGGAAGCACAAATCAGCCCAAGGAGGGTCTCTCACCTCTGGATTTAGTGAGTTATTCTCTGATGATTTTGTGGACAACAAGATGTGGGTGAAGCCATCCTGCTTCCTGACGACAATATCTCTGTATCTGTAGGCACTTTCTGTTTGCCTCACACTGAAACACAGCCGCTTGTCAAAAGGCTGGTCTCTTCTGTCGTCAATAAATTTCCTTTTCCCGGCTGTCACTCCTGTAACAGGTGTCTGTATGTTGGCTGTTCCATTGGCTGTGAGCGCATCCATGAACGGAGACGTACCTGCCAAGAGTGTGAAATCACAGTGGTCTGTGATGTCCCACCACCAGGCCACTCCCCAGGGCCAGCTCCGAGTCAGAGTACAATGCACACCACAACCCCAGGACCTAGTGAGGGCCGCAAGAAGGTTGAAAATCTGAATGTCCCGGAGTTTACTTTTCAAGGCACTCGTTTTCCTTCAGTGTCTGCCAAGGAGCTCACAGTCTCACTGATCTGGATGGAGAGGCACTGGAAGGAAGCTAGCTACCTAGCTTGAGACTTGTGAAGAATGAAGCTACACGAGAGCAGATCTCGTGGTTGGAGATGTTGAAAGGAAAAAGGAACCCAACTAAAGAAAACACTGGCAGATTAAGGCCATCTAGTCCAAATTCTCTTTTCTGAATGGAACAGGGGCCTGTGTAGACACGCGGGTCCGTCATCTTCCTGTCCCTGCAGGTCCACAGGGCAGCATGGTGGCCACCCTTTCCTGCAGACACACCCTGGAGAACAATGTGGACAACCAGTGTTCTTCCCTGGCAGGGGCTATCTGAAGGTCCAGTTCTTTATGAAATAACCATTTAAATAGTTCAACAGCTTTCTCTCATCTCACTACATAAAATGTCCTTGCATGTTACACAGCTCTTCAACATCAATGTGGGTGGTGTCCATCTTTTTTTTTGGTGCTGAGGAAGGAACCTGGGGCCTCACACACAGTAGGTAAGTGCTCTACCACAGAAGCAAACCTCCATCCTCTGACATCTTTATTATACTGAAAGTCAGGAATCTGACAGTGTACTAGAGTTACCAAGACATGCCATGGTAAGAAACTGCAAAGACAAATACCCAAACTGTCCAAATATTAGCTAACATGGTAACACATATACAGAACTTCTGGATCGAGAAAAGAGGAAAGAAGGATGTGAAAATTACTGCAGACTTCCTAATAAAGTAAGAATGACAGTTTTCTGAAGCAAATGCAACGAATTATGAATCAGAGATCTTTCAGAGTGAAAGAAAGTGAGCCCAGATCGCCACAGAAGCCCATCAATGGACATTTTAGAGGCCAAGCCTTTCTGTGGTAAATAACTTGGCCTTCACCCAGCTGGCAGAGAATGGCATTATCTATTTTAATATTTGGAATTAAGAATATACAATCCTTTAAGCACTTAAAGGTTGGAATACACAGATAAGTTCTAAGAATCCAGCACCACTGACAAACGTGATGAGAGATGCCGTCTGCCCAGGACCCGGCCGCCACAGAGCTGCTCGTGCAGACTCTCGGCACCCTCCTAGGCAGTTCCTGATCTGTGTACAAAACTTACCAAGACACTTCTCTTTTCTTTCCTTTCAAAAACCCCAGGTGGCAGCACAGAGACCCGCAGCACCTTCCATACAGGCTCTCGCTGTTTGAACTCGGGGCCGAGCACCTGGGAACCTGCTGCCCCAGGACACTTGTTCTGCTCTGAGGCCGCGCGGCAGCCCACTGCACGGCTGCTCAGGAACTCATTTTTCCAACCACACTGGATAATGCTCAATTTTTAGAAAGCTGCAGACAGTACAGCAGCGCCTACCCCGGCCTCCCACGGCACTGCCAGCATCACTACAGCAAGCCGAAGGGCCTCCAGCTGCACGATGCGCACCTGCTAAAATAAAAGCACCTGTCAGGATGGGGGCGGATCCCGAGCAACTTGGGAAGAGCCTTCGCTTTCTTTTGACCTTCACCATGTCGTCTATCAGACCCTCCACCTATGTCTACAACAGGTGCCAGTCTCTGCCCCCCAAAGCCTGTCCAGCCTGCTCTATCTCTCTGTGCGGTCTTCTTTTCTCAGGCCCAGCACAGTCTGTTCTACATTGACAGTCTCCCTGTCCCATTCCTCTACCAGCTCTGTTCAGAGCTTGGGTCCACACAGCCAGGACCGGTTTTGTTTTTGTTTTTTTTTTTGCAGAACCGGGGTTTGAACTCAGATCCTTGAACTTGCCAGGGAAGCACTTATTCTACTGAGCCACCTCCCCAGCCCCTAGGTACTTTTTTTGAGACAGGGACTTGCTATGCAGTTCAGGCTGGCCTCAAATTCCCAGTGATCCTTCTGCCTCAGCCTTCCAAGTGGGGGATTACAGGTGTGTCTATCACATGTGGCTTAGCTAGGTAACCTGAGCATGTAGCCTAGATGACTGAGCCTTTGTGCCCGAGTGAGCAGGAGCGAGGAACACCCATGGGGGCAAGGAGCAGGGCAGCACAGCAGGGAGAAGCTTCACCTGGGTGAGTGGGCATCTGGGTAAAGTGCTGCAGAGCTCCGAGTAGGGCCAGGAAGGCAGGGTAGAGGTGCGGCTGGTGTTGGGGCGCAGCCAGATGGAGGGCAGCCCCTGCAGAGGGAGTGGCCATGAACCTGGGACAGTGCACAGGGACCAGGAGCAGCACAGCTGTGCTACAACATGGATGTGTCCAGGGGACAAATTAGGGCTCCTGGGAGGGAGACCAGAGACCTTCGGGAAACTAGCCACGCTGGTGCCCACATTTCCAAGCTCAGAAGCTGGGGCACAGGACGGCAAAAGGCACACACAAATGTTAAGTAAGACCCCTAAATGTGCATCCAACGGAGACCTGGTTACAAGGGTGCCTGGGAACACCACTGCAATGAGGACAGACTCGAGGGAACGCTGATGTCAGGATGTTCCCGCGTCAGGGACAGCAGCAGCAAGTGGGAGGCTGCGGGAGGCTCTGGGAGACAGGTGCAGGGTCAGCTGCCAGGTGGGGGCTCTGGCCTTCCAGCAGGGCGTTCTGAGTAGGCTACACCTGCCAGGGTGCTGGTCTGGAGGAGTCGTCTTGATGTTCCGAAGTGCAGAACAAGGCTACGGCTACACAGGGGACAGGCTGGGGTCACTCTTACACTCCATGTCCCCAGTGTGCTTGCTGATGTCAGTGTTCCCTCGAGTCTGTCCTCATTGCAGTGGTGTTCCCAGGCACCCTTGTAACCAGGTCTCCATTGAATGCACATTTAGGGGTCTTACTTAACATCTGTGTGTGCTTTCTGCTGTCCTGCCCCCCAGCTTCTGTGCTTGGAGCTCTGGGCGACAGCGTGGGTCCAGTCGAGACCTGGGCAGCACCAGCTCCAAACCTGCTCGCTGCTGGCCTCGGGCTTCCTGTCTCTAGAACTGAGGGAATCAATCTTTGCTGCCTAGAAGCTGCCCGACGATGGGGTCTGGGCAGCAGCGGAGCCTGTGCTGACCCCAGGCAGCTGCTACCCTCCCGGCCACCCTGAACTTTCCTTTCTTCTCATGGACTTTATTTTTCTGTTTAAAACCATACTCCTTAAACTCCGAGGAGCTTTCCTGGTGGCTTCCCTCTACGGGGGCACGGTTCCCCTGCCATGATGCCCACGCGGCCAGTCCTTGTGCGCTTCGGGGAAAGCCCCCCAGCGCGAGGCAGCAGTGCCTGTGCTGATGATTCATTCCAGCCTGGACTTCCCAGGACTCCTGAGCTCGATCCCTACCTCCTACATGTTGCTTCCTGTCTCACCGATGTCCCTGCTGAAGTCTGATTCTGATCCTGCTGGTGCCTGAGTCACCCCATGTGGCTCCCGGGACCCTCTACCTAGCTGAAGGGCCACTTGGCATTATTCAGGCTGAGAAGTGCCTGTGGCCTGGCTGAGCCTGGGACTTGCAAGCTCCAGCGCAGTCACCTTGCTCACTGTGCATCCTGCGTGCTCACAGTACTTGTTGAACAGTGACGATGTAAACGCAGCCCCCTCAGTCCAGACCCCCCTGACTGAGCAAGAACTCCAGCGGCCTGCCAGACACTGCACAGCTAATTTGTCAAACCAACTTAAGGGCAGGCAGCTTAATACTTCAGAGCAGAATCAACTCTGAACCAACTGCTAAGGCCTAAATCGGAGGCGAGCCCTGCGATTCAGCAGGGAGCACTGCCTCAAAGACACTGGATGGATGCAGTGTGCTCTGGGCCGGCTGGCCGGCTCTTGGGGAAACAGCTGTGAAAGCGCCTCTGTGAACCGACAGTCCCTTAGCAGTTGGGACTGCGAGACCACCAATGCTTTCCTGTGACTCGTTAGCATAAAATTCAGTTAGGAAAGAAATCTGGCTTAGTGTCTCTTCTAATAACTGGTTTCTGCTGAATGTGTTCAAGAGCAAGAGACAGCCTTAGACATGGATGATTAATCTGTTGAATGTCACAGCTTCACAAAGTCTCTCTACAAAGGACTCCTGGCATCTGTTGTCAACCTTAGCAAAAGCTATGTCTGAACCGCCTCACCTCCACTGACAACTAGGAAGTGGAACAAAACACATGGAGTGATAGTCTCCAGACACCAGACAGCAGACGGGCTCATTCCTGGAAAGGAAGGCGGCAGTGAGGGTACCTAGGGACACACCCGGCAGCCCCACTACAGGAGGGAACCCTGGCGCAGTCTGGCAAAATGCTCAAGAAAAACACTCACGCTCTGGGGACCCAGGCGGCTACCGTGTACGGGGCAGGGTGAAGGGAAGGAGGGAGCCACACCAAGAAGGCTCCAGAAATGTCTAGAGATCTCCTGAAGTCTTCAGAAGAAGCCTCAGGTCTCAGCACAAACAGCTTTTGATGAAAGAACAGTTACTGAAGACCTAAAAAACTAAGTATTTCCCGGAGTCCACACAGGGCAGGGGCTCAGCAGGCAGAGTGAAAGGACCTCATGGAACATGACCATTCCAGGGGCCCCGGCATGGAACACGTCACACGTAGGCAGTGGAACCAATTCAGGTCTGGAATGAAGGACACTTAGAATTATGCTAACAAAGCTTAAAAGCAAGTCTTGAAAGGCTCAAACTGACAGCAAGTTATGCTACCCTGCTGGGACAAACGTCACACTTTTTAAAAGCATGTAACAAAATCTAGAGTCCAAACTAAATTGTAAAGTTCAGCAACAAACCTGGAATTAACTGACAGTCAAAAGAACAGGCAAATTGGACTGATGACCAAGATTAAATCAGTTAACAGAGACCAAAAGGTGAGAGGCGATGAAATTAATAGAAAA